TGATAGTATCTNTGATAAATATAAAATATCATTCATTTGATTGTTCCATTTCATCTATCATTTCATTCTACACCGAATGATTTGTACTTAATTAAAATTTTAGTTAAAAAATTTAGTTTTTCTTTTCGTTCAAATTTTAAAAATTTTATTTAACATTTCTGGAAATATACATGTATATTCAACTCAATTACTGCCATTTTTGAAAATTCGAATAATTTCATATTCAGAAGCGATTTTTTTCTAGATAAGGTTATTTGCCGGCAACACTTCGTATTTCTGAATTATAAAAACAACCGAGGGTGTCTTTTTCGTGACGTTTTCAAATATTAGAGTAGATTTTTGGTTTCTTTAAATTAGGGTTATTTATTTCCGCGGAAACTGCAATGATATTTTTTAAGAGCTAATACTTCGAAGTAGCAAAATCATCGTTTAAGTGCAATAATTTTGTTGTTAAGAAGTATCCGCTCATAAAAGTATAAAAGTTGTAATTTGATGCAATTACAGACCTTATAAACTTATCAAATATCATTTCAGTATCCAGTCGCTTTTAGCTAAATTAATTTACATACTGCAGAAATAAAAAGCAAATCTTTGTTTTTGTTAGCTGTGCATCATTGAAAGCACCTCGTAGAAGCATGGGTTCTGGAATACATATCTATATATGTGATATACAAAGTGTTCTTATTAAACAAGTCAAAAACTAACGAACATCCAAAAAGGTAGCATTATATTTGCTGGAATTTTTGATATCTTCATTTCGCAGCAAATCTATGCTATCTGAACAAGGAAAACTTACTGATATTCTCAATGAATTGATTTTCAGTAATATATTGGTTTCGAAAATATCTGCACTGCCAAGAAATAATTCCAGTTGTTGTTGTGATATATATGGTATCACACCATCAATACGCGCCAAATCCATTTTTATCGCGAATCCCTTCCCATTATCATCCATAATAAAAACAATTTTCGTGCCCGTTAATATCATAAAAGTTTTGTTTAGAATTAGCAGTTATGATAGGGAGAAAACAAAGCTTATTGTGAACGATTTTAAAGTTTGCAATTCATACGTGTGTCCTCGGAGTTCAGTCTGTGGATAAAAATTTTGGAAATTTTATAGTAATAATTTAACCTGCTCTGTGAGCAAAATATCTTCATCTTGAAGCGCTAACGAAGAAGGTAGCATTTTTTCATCCTCTTTCAACAAAATATCTACCATCATTACGATGTTGCCAGTAGATCCAATGCTCTGATAAGGAAATAGTCTGTAGTTTTTTTCTCTTCCAAATTTACTGACCAATGAAGGTGTCGTGAAAACGAAACCTCAAATTTATTCACATTGTAAATTAATACTATGAATCACCCTTAACATATCTACATTCCTCAGATTTATATCCCGTTTC